TTTTTTTTTTTTTTCTTCATTCTTTAAAACTCTCTGTTCTCACTGTAAACCCTAGATTTTCTTATTTCTCAATTTCTTGTAAATGTGACGGAGAAAATAAATGAAGAATTCATATTGAGACTGCCTTCTCTCAATACAGCTACGTTGTTGATTCCAATTCTCTCAATACACCCAGATCGGACTCCAAGTGATTTTGATGATCTCATTCTCGACAGATCTGTTCGATTTTGTGTTTCTCTGTTACTTGATTCCATTAATCTGTTATAGAAGACGAAGTCCAATTTAGGATTATTGAAATTGAGAAGTAAAATGATCTAAGATTTACAGTGTGAATTGTGAAGAGCAAACAAGATATTTATGAAGAATGAAGAAGAAGAGTAAGAAAAAAAAACGCAAGGAAAAACGGAGGTCGGACTCGAACTCAGGTCCAGGGTTATTAAACCAAACCCACGTTGAACCACCAGACTAAGACGATATATCGGTTTATGCTTGAAAAGATATTGTATTTAAATACGTAAATATTTTGTGGGTTAAATTTTAACTGCAGTTAATGATTCCGTTACCATCGTTAACGGTCGTTTACGCGGAGGTACGAATCTATCAAAATTTAAGAAACAAAGAATTTAAAAGACAACAACAATTAAAAGTGGTATTTTTATTCCAATTTTAAAACTACGTGTATTAAACGATCAAATAAAAAATAGATGACGGTTTTTTCGAGTTTTTTCCCTATTCAAAAATAAAACTTTTTCAAGTGGGCATAAATCAAAATCCTACTGTTTGGATCCGATAACGTACATATGACGTTTGTTATATCTGCAGAATCTTTGAATAAGGAAGTTTGACATCAAATTCTTATGAAAGGATCGAGATAAATGGTTAGTGAATATCGTACGTTGACAAAAATATCTAACTTGTTCGTAAAAAGAGTTATGACAACCAAATATGTTTTCAACTACAATAACTCAAGATATATACTAGTCATGAGTCATGACCTCCACGTTTACTTCTTTCACCATTTTATGTTCTTAATTATCCTTTCTAAAAGTGACGAGCAAAGCTTTTAACGAGGGATGAAGACGAAAAAGCAAACAATAAGCCCAGCTAATGAAGATTGTGGCTTAAGTGATGAAAATTGAGTCCTAAGAGTCGCACCAAATTACCAAATGTTAGACTTGGGTGGTTTAGGTCCAAAGCAAATTAAAATTAATTAGTGTTTGTTTAATCCTAATGAAGAATGGTTCGACAAATGCTTGGTAGTTGGTACCGTAGTAGATCAGTTGAAATTTACCCATTTGTTCTAAAAATATATTAGAATGTCTGGTTAAGATCATTTTCCTAAATGTCTCTATTAGTTAGAGTTTAAAATGACACGAGATATATAACTTGCATCACAATTTAGAATTATCATTAGTTAGAGTTTTAAATTTCAATTTCAATTTCAATTATCAAAAAAGCATTGTTATTTTCTCGGTAAGCAATATATATTTTAATAAAGATGTACTTCCTATAATTAAAAAGATGTCTCAATCATATAGGACTAGCGAGTAGAGGTTAACGCGGATGATATAGGTGGAAGAGTGTTGGTCCCGTTTTTCTTCTTGGGGTTTAGGATGAGAGGTTAAAGAAGGAGATATATGAATAAAGAAACAAGATCAATTGAAATTAGAGAATATTGTTATAACTAGAGATAGATTAAGTAAAATAAATCTTCTTGCCAAAACAAGTGGCATAATTTAGAGCAAATTAAAGAAACTACATTATCTACATATACATTTTTACAGTACTTTTTTGCTTTAATTCTATTGGATCCGGGTTTGACCCGGTTTTAGTCTATTCGGATCTTGGATAAGCAATTTTAGGGATGTTGTCTTAATTTCAAACTGATAAATGAAGCCATGTTGTCTTTAATTCATCTACTTATTCTTATACTATTTCCATATTAATCATCTCCGGATACTTAGCATTTACCATACCTAATTATATATATATATTAAGGATTTACATATGGATTAAATATATTAAAAATTTACCAAATATATTGCCAAAAATCTCTCCATATTAACTCCACGATTTCTTTCATATATACATGCGGGATTTTCGATCTCACTTACTTGCTCTCAATATACTATATTCGAAATTCCTACTCTACAATATCTCTAACAAGACGATTTTTAGCAACTAATTAATAGCTCTTCTCCATCAAAATCGATTCTGTTTCTTTGTATAATCAAGATTCCGAGATCTTTTTTTTCAACTAATAACACACCACATTCAATTTCAAAGATTTTTTTTTCTCCATATCCTATATAAAAACGAATAATCGCAGCATATTCCTAAACCCCTAACAAATACAAAGATTTTCTTCCTAATATCTTGCTTTAGGGAATATTTTTTCCTTAATTGCTAGGAATTAGTAACCTAATTAGTTTTTCCTATAAATATTATGCACCTAAACACCATTTACCATCGTCAAACACAAAGCTACGAAATACTTTACCACATTACACGTACCTTAAATCTCTTCACAATGGCTGTAACTTTTGTTTTTTTCAAAGACGTGCGCCCCTACAAGACCTCTGGGCAGGTTCAAGTCAAAATCCTGCATTCCTAGTTTCAATACACGTGAAACATTAGTGAAACTCTTGAGATGGTTTTGCTAGCGGAAAGATGAAGGATGAAGATGATGATTATCTTCCAAAAAACAGTTGCAGAGAAGTAATTTAGCCTAATATTAAAATTTCTTTGTATTAATAAAACAATATTACGTTAATATTTCTTTGTTAGGTTGGGAGAGTTAACTTTATAATGTTGTTTCCACTTGCAGTTTAGCAAACATTAAACTAAAGGAGCCAACCTAAAACTAAAAGATATGCTTCTGAATATTTGAGGTCATCATACCACCCCCTATATTACTCATTTAAGAATAATGCTCTAAGATTAAGCTACTTATCAAATGTACTGTACAATTCAGAAGTCACACCTCTGTTTTTTCAGCTTTGATTAAGTCTATGCATTGCCATTTATGCTTCTTTGAATCTTTGTCGCTGTCTTGGTCATCAATGGCACTTAGGCGATCATATAAGAAATTGATTATGACGATTCAAAACCTGATTGAACAAATCATATAATTGCTTTCAACATTATAAGAATATAATTCCTTCAAGATTAGCTAAATTCTTTTTATGAAATTTAGTTTAGCTATTGTTTCCAATTTTTCATTCAGAATTGATAGATACCACAAATTAAAGTCAATGTCAATCACAATTACATTATTATATATCATGTACGCTTCTTTTCCTAACATAGTCTGTAAATAATTGAAGTCATATAATGTAAACGACGAAAGTGATATAGTATGTAGAATTCTTGAATACAATCTAAAGAAGATAGTTTCTGCAAACAAAGATCTAATTCAACCCAAGGATTAGAATCTTATCTTTCAATTTCCAGTGTAATTGGAGGCGGCGCCAATACGTGTTTGGTGAATCTCGAGAAGGAGAAGAAGAATAATCTCAATGCAATTTGAGAGGAATTTATCTTCAGATCTGCGGATTACATCATCCAAAACAGAGCTTCTGTTGGAATCAAATCATCGATTAATAACTAAATTAGTAAGAGAGGTGAAGGAGTTTGGATTGAAAAGAGGAAGAAGACAGAGTCGAAGAGCAATCAAGGGAAGAGGAAGAAATGACTTGGTCGTAATGTTGGAGTAAAAAGGTTATTGGGCTTTTATGTTTCGTAAGCCCATTAACACTAAGACGATCGTTTGTGGAATTGTGGGTTATTAACCATAGGTTAAAATGAGTAGTATATATAGATCAATTGGGCTTTTATGTTTAGTCAGCCCATTAACATTTTCTGTTTTTTTTTTTTTTTTTTTTTTTTTTTTGCAATTTAAATCTAAGAACTTTTATTAAAAAGAATGGTTGAGGGAGTCTCTGAAAAATATTAGGAGAAATTGGTGAAAGTGTATATGATGGTGTCTCTATAGTTTTTTTATTAGATTTTGAGAAAAAAAAATTTGAAATTCGATTGATCTTTCCACTAAACGAAAATAAAAAATATTATAATATGACTTTATGCCAATGTCATTTCTATTTTTCTTATATTTTGAACAACTCAAAACATATAATTTATGTAACAAATCAATTTAACAATTTAGTAACCAATAACTAAAATATTTTTGAAAAAATATTAAAATAATCTAAATATTTCTACTTGATAAAAATAATTTGGACTTTAAAAGATGATGTTGTATTTGTTTTTCACGGGACGGGGTTATATGGTGAGACGGTTTGGGTCTATATTAATACGAGATATACTACTGGTGAAATCGTAGAATTAACAATCAAAATTTAATTATACAATCTTAAACAATAAATAACATTAACTAAACAAATATAACTTAAAATTTCAAATTTTTCAGATATAAAATATCGTCTCGCGGTGTAACATATATTTAAATCAAACAAATAATAGCATATATCTATAGATCATCTTAAAAAAAAAAATTAATTTCTCTATTAATAAAAATATGGGCTCGCGGTGTACCACGGGTTAACATCTAGTAGTGTGTACATATTACGCTTAAATTGTTCCCGCGAATCAACTTAGCAAAACAAGAGCAAGATAATAATGATAAAATTACGTGTGCTAACAAGTTTTAGCTATTTTAGAGGAAGTGAGAGAGATAATGTAAGATCTGATTGTACGAGTAAACGAAATTAGCTGTAAAAAGAAAAAAGTAACTCCTTAATTCACGCCCTTTAACATTAAAAATGAAAGAATATTATAAGTAATAACTGCAGAAACAATTTCCGCCAATAGAATTGTCTATAAATAAATAGAATGAGCGGTAATTATGGACGACAGCTATTTAATTTCCCGTTCTTGAAAAAGTCAAAAAGATTATAAAATTTAATATATATATATATATATTTTTTTTTGGCAGGATTTAAATAATAATCACTATATATACTCTATTCGATGGTAACCCTAGTTCACATTTCTCTATCTCTCTCTCACACGAACCTTTTTTCTCTCTCTCTCGCCGCCGCTCTCTTTATTTTCTCTCTTGTGTTCTAAAGATGTTCTTGCTGCTTCATCTTCCAATTCTTCATCAGTTTTGTTTCTTCTTCCCAGAACAAAAAAAACGTTACTTTTCGACAACAAACGAAGATTATCGAAGAAAATGGTGTATCAGCTCAGAATCTCGACAACTCGATCGAGAACCCTTGAAGTCAGATTCACTTCTTGATGGGTTTGTCGAGATTGACAGTCCATCAGATTTACTTGGGCTTAATTAAGCCCAAATTTATGAATGGTAAGGTATTGATCCATCAATTAGATTTTTATTTTCCTCAAATAATTTTTTTCTAGATCCATTATTTACTTCTTCTTCATCACGCAAACATAACATTTGAAATTTGAAATTTAAAACTTCTGAAATTCTCTCTGAGCACTGAAATTCTCTCTGACCACTGAAATTCTCTCTCGATCACAACACACACTGCGAAAATGTCAATGGTAATTGAAATTTCTGCTTGTTTTTCATTTTTATCAGTGCGCACTAAGATTTTTGTAGGATTAGTGAATTTGTTTCTGCTTTTTTCTGAATTTTTTTTTTGATTCTCTTCTTATGTTCTTGAAGAGTGAAGCAAGGAAAACAATTCTTCAGGAACTCGATTCTCTGAGAGAACTGGGGAAAACGACGTCTCTGATCCAATTGTTTGAGGTATTGGTTTCTTAATTTTCAATTTCGTATTAGGTTCTCTGGTTTTGTGTAGATCCACTTCTTGTTCGTATTCGTTTCTTACTTGTAAGATCAACTTCGTATTAGGTCCCGCATGTTTGTATTGATCCACATCTTGTTCGTATTGGTTTCTCAATGTATTAGGTTCGCATGTTTGTATTGATCTGGTTTTGTATTGTTCTACACACTAGCTCATGATTAAGTGGATTGTCTAACACAATAGAAATCATGCTCTGTGATTTGTTTTCCATTTATGATAAGTGGATTGTGTAACACACACACTAGAAATTGAACTAAGTGAACATTTGTGATTTGTTTTCCATGTTTTTATTTGTTCATTTCTCAGATTTCGTTTTATTTGGGTTTAAATGAATGTTGTTATTGATCTCGTATGTGAGATTTGAGAGCAGAGCTAGTAATCATGTGCTAGTCTCTTTCTAATGGTGTGTCTTTTAATTTCTTTCTCTCTTGCAGGTTGCTCCTGTTGCTGTGCCAGTTGCTCCTGTTGCTGTGCCAGTTGCTCCTGTTGCTGTGCCTCCACAGGTTTGTTTTGAGTAATTTGTTTGCGATTCGGATTGAGTAATCAGTTTAAGTATCTGTTCTAGATTTATTGTCTGTGTATAATAACAATCTGTTTCCATGTTTGTATTGATCTGGTTTTGTATTGTTCTATACACTAGCTCATGATTCTCTTGTTCGTATTCGTTTCTTACTTGTAAGATCAACTTCGTATTAGGTCCGCATGTTTGTATTGATCTGGTTTTGTATTGATCCACATCTTGTTCGTATTGGTTTCTCAATGTATTAGGTTCGCATGTTTGTATTGATCTGGTTTTGTATTGTTCTACACACTAGCTCATGATTAAGTGGATTGTCTAACACAATAGAAATCATGCTCTGTGATTTGTTTTCCATTTATGATAAGTGGATTGTGTAACACACACACTAGAAATTGAACTAAGTGAACATTTGTGATTTGTTTTCCATGTTTTTATTTGTTCATTTCTCAGATTTCGTTTTATTTGGGTTTAAATGAATGTTGTTATTGATCTCGTATGTGAGATTTGAGAGCAGAGCTAGTAATCATGTGCTAGTCTCTTTCTAATGGTGTGTCTTTTAATTTCTTTCTCTCTTGCAGGTTGCTCCTGTTGCTGTGCCAGTTGCTCCTGTTGCTGTGCCAGTTGCTCCTGTTGCTGTGCCTCCACAGGTTTGTTTTGAGTAATTTGTTTGCGATTCGGATTGAGTAATCAGTTTAAGTATCTGTTCTAGATTTATTGTCTGTGTATAATAACAATCTGTTTCCATGTTTGTATTGATCTGGTTTTGTATTGTTCTATACACTAGCTCATGATTCTCTTGTTCGTATTCGTTTCTTACTTGTAAGATCAACTTCGTATTAGGTCCGCATGTTTGTATTGATCTGGTTTTGTATTGATCCACATCTTGTTCGTATTGGTTTCTCAATGTATTAGGTTCGCATGTTTGTATTGATCTGGTTTTGTATTGTTCTACACACTAGCTCATGATTCTCATCATCAACTCCAACCAGCAGCGAGTAGTCCATCACATTTATGCTCTGTGATTTGTTTTCCATTTATGATAAGTGGATTGTGTAACACACACACTAGAAATTGAACTAAGTGAACATTTGTGATTTGTTTTCCATGTTTTTATTTGTTCATTTCTCAGATTTCGTTTTATTTGGGTTTAAATGAATGTTGTTATTGATCTCGTATGTGAGATTTGAGAGCAGAGCTAGTAATCATGTGCTAGTCTCTTTCTAATGGTGTGTCTTTTAATTTCTTTCTCTCTTGCAGGTTGCTCCTGTTGCTGTGCCAGTTGCTCCTGTTGCTGTGCCAGTTGCTCCTGTTGCTGTGCCTCCACAGGTTTGTTTTGAGTAATTTGTTTGCGATTCGGATTGAGTAATCAGTTTAAGTATCTGTTCTAGATTTATTGTCTGTGTATAATAACAATCTGTTTCCATGTTTGTATTGATCTGGTTTTGTATTGTTCTATACACTAGCTCATGATTCTCTTGTTCGTATTCGTTTCTTACTTGTAAGATCAACTTCGTATTAGGTCCGCATGTTTGTATTGATCTGGTTTTGTATTGATCCACATCTTGTTCGTATTGGTTTCTCAATGTATTAGGTTCGCATGTTTGTATTGATCTGGTTTTGTATTGTTCTACACACTAGCTCATGATTCTCATCATCAACTCCAACCAGCAGCGAGTAGTCCATCACATTTATGCTCTGTGATTTGTTTTCCATTTATGATAAGTGGATTGTGTAACACACACACTAGAAATTGAACTAAGTGAACATTTGTGATTTGTTTTCCATGTTTTTATTTGTTCATTTCTCAGATTTCGTTTTATTTGGGTTTAAATGAATGTTGTTATTGATCTCGTATGTGAGATTTGAGAGCAGAGCTAGTAATCATGTGCTAGTCTCTTTCTAATGGTGTGTCTTTTAATTTCTTTCTCTCTTGCAGGTTGCTCCTGTTGCTGTGCCAGTTGCTCCTGTTGCTGTGCCAGTTGCTCCTGTTGCTGTGCCTCCACAGGTTTGTTTTGAGTAATTTGTTTGCGATTCGGATTGAGTAATCAGTTTAAGTATCTGTTCTAGATTTATTGTCTGTGTATAATAACAATCTGTTTCCATGTTTGTATTGATCTGGTTTTGTATTGTTCTATACACTAGCTCATGATTCTCTTGTTCGTATTCGTTTCTTACTTGTAAGATCAACTTCGTATTAGGTCCGCATGTTTGTATTGATCTGGTTTTGTATTGATCCACATCTTGTTCGTATTGGTTTCTCAATGTATTAGGTTCGCATGTTTGTATTGATCTGGTTTTGTATTGTTCTACACACTAGCTCATGATTAAGTGGATTGTCTAACACAATAGAAATCATGCTCTGTGATTTGTTTTCCATTTATGATAAGTGGATTGTGTAACACACACACTAGAAATTGAACTAAGTGAACATTTGTGATTTGTTTTCCATGTTTTTATTTGTTCATTTCTCAGATTTCGTTTTATTTGGGTTTAAATGAATGTTGTTATTGATCTCGTATGTGAGATTTGAGAGCAGAGCTAGTAATCATGTGCTAGTCTCTTTCTAATGGTGTGTCTTTTAATTTCTTTCTCTCTTGCAGGTTGCTCCTGTTGCTGTGCCAGTTGCTCCTGTTGCTGTGCCAGTTGCTCCTGTTGCTGTGCCTCCACAGGTTTGTTTTGAGTAATTTGTTTGCGATTCGGATTGAGTAATCAGTTTAAGTATCTGTTCTAGATTTATTGTCTGTGTATAATAACAATCTGTTTCCATGTTTGTATTGATCTGGTTTTGTATTGTTCTATACACTAGCTCATGATTCTCTTGTTCGTATTCGTTTCTTACTTGTAAGATCAACTTCGTATTAGGTCCGCATGTTTGTATTGATCTGGTTTTGTATTGATCCACATCTTGTTCGTATTGGTTTCTCAATGTATTAGGTTCGCATGTTTGTATTGATCTGGTTTTGTATTGTTCTACACACTAGCTCATGATTAAGTGGATTGTAACTCAACAGCAGAGTAGAAATCACATTTATGCTCTGTGATTTGTTTTCCATTTATGATAAGTGGATTGTGTAACACACACACTAGAAATTGAACTAAGTGAACATTTGTGATTTGTTTTCCATGTTTTTATTTGTTCATTTCTCAGATTTCGTTTTATTTGGGTTTAAATGAATGTTGTTATTGATCTCGTATGTGAGATTTGAGAGCAGAGCTAGTAATCATGTGCTAGTCTCTTTCTAATGGTGTGTCTTTTAATTTCTTTCTCTCTTGCAGGTTGCTCCTGTTGCTGTGCCAGTTGCTCCTGTTGCTGTGCCAGTTGCTCCTGTTGCTGTGCCTCCACAGGTTTGTTTTGAGTAATTTGTTTGCGATTCGGATTGAGTAATCAGTTTAAGTATCTGTTCTAGATTTATTGTCTGTGTATAATAACAATCTGTTTCCATGTTTGTATTGATCTGGTTTTGTATTGTTCTATACACTAGCTCATGATTCTCTTGTTCGTATTCGTTTCTTACTTGTAAGATCAACTTCGTATTAGGTCCGCATGTTTGTATTGATCTGGTTTTGTATTGATCCACATCTTGTTCGTATTGGTTTCTCAATGTATTAGGTTCGCATGTTTGTATTGATCTGGTTTTGTATTGTTCTACACACTAGCTCATGATTCTCATCATCAACTCCAACCAGCAGCGAGTAGTCCATCACATTTATGCTCTGTGATTTGTTTTCCATTTATGATAAGTGGATTGTGTAACACACACACTAGAAATTGAACTAAGTGAACATTTGTGATTTGTTTTCCATGTTTTTATTTGTTCATTTCTCAGATTTCGTTTTATTTGGGTTTAAATGAATGTTGTTATTGATCTCGTATGTGAGATTTGAGAGCAGAGCTAGTAATCATGTGCTAGTCTCTTTCTAATGGTGTGTCTTTTAATTTCTTTCTCTCTTGCAGGTTGCTCCTGTTGCTGTGCCAGTTGCTCCTGTTGCTGTGCCAGTTGCTCCTGTTGCTGTGCCTCCACAGGTTTGTTTTGAGTAATTTGTTTGCGATTCGGATTGAGTAATCAGTTTAAGTATCTGTTCTAGATTTATTGTCTGTGTATAATAACAATCTGTTTCCATGTTTGTATTGATCTGGTTTTGTATTGTTCTATACACTAGCTCATGATTCTCTTGTTCGTATTCGTTTCTTACTTGTAAGATCAACTTCGTATTAGGTCCGCATGTTTGTATTGATCTGGTTTTGTATTGATCCACATCTTGTTCGTATTGGTTTCTCAATGTATTAGGTTCGCATGTTTGTATTGATCTGGTTTTGTATTGTTCTACACACTAGCTCATGATTAAGTGGATTGTCTAACACAATAGAAATCATGCTCTGTGATTTGTTTTCCATTTATGATAAGTGGATTGTGTAACACACACACTAGAAATTGAACTAAGTGAACATTTGTGATTTGTTTTCCATGTTTTTATTTGTTCATTTCTCAGATTTCGTTTTATTTGGGTTTAAATGAATGTTGTTATTGATCTCGTATGTGAGATTTGAGAGCAGAGCTAGTAATCATGTGCTAGTCTCTTTCTAATGGTGTGTCTTTTAATTTCTTTCTCTCTTGCAGGTTGCTCCTGTTGCTGTGCCAGTTGCTCCTGTTGCTGTGCCAGTTGCTCCTGTTGCTGTGCCTCCACAGGTTTGTTTTGAGTAATTTGTTTGCGATTCGGATTGAGTAATCAGTTTAAGTATCTGTTCTAGATTTATTGTCTGTGTATAATAACAATCTGTTTCCATGTTTGTATTGATCTGGTTTTGTATTGTTCTATACACTAGCTCATGATTCTCTTGTTCGTATTCGTTTCTTACTTGTAAGATCAACTTCGTATTAGGTCCGCATGTTTGTATTGATCTGGTTTTGTATTGATCCACATCTTGTTCGTATTGGTTTCTCAATGTATTAGGTTCGCATGTTTGTATTGATCTGGTTTTGTATTGTTCTACACACTAGCTCATGATTAAGTGGATTGTCTAACACAATAGAAATCATGCTCTGTGATTTGTTTTCCATTTATGATAAGTGGATTGTGTAACACACACACTAGAAATTGAACTAAGTGAACATTTGTGATTTGTTTTCCATGTTTTTATTTGTTCATTTCTCAGATTTCGTTTTATTTGGGTTTAAATGAATGTTGTTATTGATCTCGTATGTGAGATTTGAGAGCAGAGCTAGTAATCATGTGCTAGTCTCTTTCCAATGGTGTGTCTTTTAATTTCTTTCTCTCTTGCAGGTTGCTCCTGTTGCTGTGCCAGTTGCTCCTGTTGCTGTGCCAGTTGCTCCTGTTGCTGTGCCTCCACAGGTTTGTTTTGAGTAATTTGTTTGCGATTCGGATTGAGTAATCAGTTTAAGTATCTGTTCTAGATTTATTGTCTGTGTATAATAACAATCTGTTTCCATGTTTGTATTGATCTGGTTTTGTATTGTTCTATACACTAGCTCATGATTCTCTTGTTCGTATTCGTTTCTTACTTGTAAGATCAACTTCGTATTAGGTCCGCATGTTTGTATTGATCTGGTTTTGTATTGATCCACATCTTGTTCGTATTGGTTTCTCAATGTATTAGGTTCGCATGTTTGTATTGATCTGGTTTTGTATTGTTCTACACACTAGCTCATGATTCTCATCATCAACTCCAACCAGCAGCGAGTAGTCCATCACATTTATGCTCTGTGATTTGTTTTCCATTTATGATAAGTGGATTGTGTAACACACACACTAGAAATTGAACTAAGTGAACATTTGTGATTTGTTTTCCATGTTTTTATTTGTTCATTTCTCAGATTTCGTTTTATTTGGGTTTAAATGAATGTTGTTATTGATCTCGTATGTGAGATTTGAGAGCAGAGCTAGTAATCATGTGCTAGTCTCTTTCTAATGGTGTGTCTTTTAATTTCTTTCTCTCTTGCAGGTTGCTCCTGTTGCTGTGCCAGTTGCTCCTGTTGCTGTGCCAGTTGCTCCTGTTGCTGTGCCTCCACAGGTTTGTTTTGAGTAATTTGTTTGCGATTCGGATTGAGTAATCAGTTTAAGTATCTGTTCTAGATTTATTGTCTGTGTATAATAACAATCTGTTTCCATGTTTGTATTGATCTGGTTTTGTATTGTTCTATACACTAGCTCATGATTCTCTTGTTCGTATTCGTTTCTTACTTGTAAGATCAACTTCGTATTAGGTCCGCATGTTTGTATTGATCTGGTTTTGTATTGATCCACATCTTGTTCGTATTGGTTTCTCAATGTATTAGGTTCGCATGTTTGTATTGATCTGGTTTTGTATTGTTCTACACACTAGCTCATGATTCTCATCATCAACTCCAACCAGCAGCGAGTAGTCCATCACATTTATGCTCTGTGATTTGTTTTCCATTTATGATAAGTGGATTGTGTAACACACACACTAGAAATTGAACTAAGTGAACATTTGTGATTTGTTTTCCATGTTTTTATTTGTTCATTTCTCAGATTTCGTTTTATTTGGGTTTAAATGAATGTTGTTATTGATCTCGTATGTGAGATTTGAGAGCAGAGCTAGTAATCATGTGCTAGTCTCTTTCTAATGGTGTGTCTTTTAATTTCTTTCTCTCTTGCAGGTTGCTCCTGTTGCTGTGCCAGTTGCTCCTGTTGCTGTGCCAGTTGCTCCTGTTGCTGTGCCTCCACAGGTTTGTTTTGAGTAATTTGTTTGCGATTCGGATTGAGTAATCAGTTTAAGTATCTGTTCTAGATTTATTGTCTGTGTATAATAACAATCTGTTTCCATGTTTGTATTGATCTGGTTTTGTATTGTTCTATACACTAGCTCATGATTCTCTTGTTCGTATTCGTTTCTTACTTGTAAGATCAACTTCGTATTAGGTCCGCTTGTTTGTATTGATCTGGTTTTGTATTGATCCACATCTTGTTCGTATTGGTTTCTCAATGTATTAGGTTCGCATGTTTGTATTGATCTGGTTTTGTATTGTTCTACACACTAGCTCATGATTCTCATCATCAACTCCAACCAGCAGCGAGTAGTCCATCACATTTATGCTCTGTGATTTGTTTTCCATTTATGATAAGTGGATTGTGTAACACACACACTAGAAATTGAACTAAGTGAACATTTGTGATTTGTTTTCCATGTTTGTATTGATCTGGTTTTGTATTGTTCTACACACTAGCTCATGATTAAGTGGATTGTCTAACACAATATTAATTGAACTAAGTCAACATTTGTGATTTGTTTTCCATGTTTTTATTTGTTCATTTCTCAGATTTCGTTTTATTTGGGTTTAAATGAATGTTGTTATTGATCTCGTATGTGAGATTTGAGAGCAGAGCTAGTAATCATGTGCTAGTCTCTTTCTAATGGTGTGTCTTTTAATTTCTTTCTCTCTTGCAGGTTGCTCCTGTTGCTGTGCCAGTTGCTCCTGTTGCTGTGCCAGTTGCTCCTGTTGCTGTGCCTCCACAGGTTTGTTTTGAGTAATTTGTTTGCGATTCGGATTGAGTAATCAGTTTAAGTATCTGTTCTAGATTTATTGTCTGTGTATAATAACAATCTGTTTTCAGGATCCACTGGAGCGAGCTCGAGCTCTGGCTAAGTTGAGGAGGGAGATTGCAGCAAAAAAAGCAGCAAGGAAGAAGAAAGATTCGGCTCCGTTTCAGTCGCCAGGGACTCGTGCCGAAAGAGCCAAGCACTTTGCCTCCACCTCACCAGAGTTCTATTTTCCTAAGTAATCTCTCACTACTTTCTCCCACTACGATATTAAAAAACCTCTTGTTTTTTACTGTGTTGACAATGAAACTGCATGTGTTTGGTTTTGGTATTTCAACTCTCTGTATGAGGAATAATTGAATCTTGCCTCTACATAATCTAGTTAAATCTGAAAGCAACTGAAAATTGATATGGCCACATGAATGTTACGGATTTGACAGGTGCTCTGCTTTTCAAAGCATAAAGCCGCATGATTTTTAGATTCAGGGAATAAAGAGATGGTTAATAGCTTACTTTCACATGAATTAGTTAACCCAGCTTGTTCATGTAACCAGGGCTGTGCTTAAATGTTGTAACCTAGGGGTCGTCACCTAGTTAACAAAATAACAAAAGCCTCCCATCTTTGCCATTGGTGACTATTATCTCTGGAAACAACCAGAAAATGATTGAGAGATTGACCATGTAAAGCTTTCAATAGGAAATAGTTTAATAAGAAGTTCCGAGCATCACTGATCCTTCCACAAACACAATAAACATGAAGAAGAGTTGTGATAAACGAGAGTCGGTCCATGGTTTCTCAGTTGGTTGAAAACACGAAATGCTCGCTAATAGAGTATTGGACATATTACATATAGAGATTAGTGTTGGAAGATCGATGAGGCGTATCGAATGTTGGATACATGCTTGAGGAGAAAGCAAGAACCTTGCTCACTGCGAAATCGTCCTTGTCAATCTCCGTCTTCACCATGTAACCATGAATTCGAGAAACTTCGAGACCTTAGATCCTGGCACCGTGGAGACAACAACGAATCAAGATTCTTACGACGGAACACAAAATTTGCGTGACGTCATCGCCGATGTCATCAGAAAACGCCTTTCCCTAACAACGGCATTGTTTTTTTTCAACTAAAACTATCAAATTGGGCCTGAATTCCTTAATGGACCTTTTCTTTTCTTTTTTGTCCGAATCCAGTTACGTGACAAAGAGGATTAGGGTCCTCTTTAATTAACGAATTTTGTGGTAAAGCCTTTTTTTTTTTTTTTTTTAATCGGCATAAAATGTAAATACAGTTTAGGTCCACGTGTTTATTATTGATTTGTTTGTTTCTTTCGTTGTATTTTCCAAAAAACTTTGGTCTTTTAATTGAATAAAACATCCATTTACGGTTTTGCAACCTTCAATGTAATTAAAACCAACACCAAAGTTTCGACCTAAAACCCAACTTATTATTGGTTACCCAAAAACAGAAGTCTCCATTTTTATCTCCACCGGGTCATTAAAGGATTCTCAAAACTTTTATCAAAAAAAAAAAAAAAGTTTCTCAAATTTCTCGTCATTGAAGATATAAATCATTTGATGATAATTACCTTCTATTATTGAAATTTAAAATATTTATAACAAGAAAATAGTACCCTTAATTTCATATTTAACTTTAATCAATAAACTCTCTATTTGATATAAAACAACAAATAGTTTATCACAAGTGTTTAGTTTTGTAAGGTACAAAAAACTTCTACCATAAACAAAGAATTTGGGTAATATAAATTTTTAATATAATCATTGTATTTTTTTATTTTTTTGAATACCATGAGGTTCTGGACAAAACCCGTAATCCCCACCGGCCCGAAACCAAAACATTGTATTTTAAAAGTAACAAAAAAATGTTTCAATATATATTTAGTTACATATTATTACACTTTTCCTAGTATATATATACATATCAAATTGTTTGTGTTATTGTCTATTTTGGCCTTTGAATAAAGCTGATAATTTTTAATCTCTTGGGTAAAAGATCTTGGACACCTCTTTAGATCGTATAGTTGGCTCGCCAAATGACCACTCAATCTGCAACTAAACTTAAAAGAGTCACTGTAAAACCCTATAACATAGACCGATTCTCTAAAACATCAATGAGCCTCAGAGCAACAGACTACGTACGAATAAGCAACGCCACTAAAACTGAAACACATCACAAAGATCTCTAAAACCAGAACATCAATTATAGAAGAGGAACAACACTAATAAGATACCAAATTTCGAGATACCACGACAAACAATTTGCAACTCCAGAAAACACAACAACAACAAGCACAAAGAATCGATCCATAAGAGAAATGCTAGGATTTATATATATAATTTCACCTGTAAACTTAACCAATGTCAGATCTAGTGATCGGAAAAGGAGCAACGACGAGCCTAGCCGCGAAAGCAAAATGCCAGTGAGGACGACGATATATGAAGCAAAATCAAATCAATTTCATACTCTATATAAGACGACAATGTGATATTTCAACATAAGTGTACTAAACCGTAATCGCTATTTATCATAATGTCCATTGAATTTTTGGCAAATTATTGTTGTTTGAATCCAGTAATCAAATATGATTACCAAATAGATAATAATGTTATTAGACAAAAATATCAAAAATTAATTGGAAATAAATGACAAAATAATAAGAAATTAAGAACATGGTTCCCAAATTGGGTTTTGTTCTTCTCACTGTTCAGACTTCAGAGCAACTTTCAAAACAATCTCTATAAGGTAACAAGAATCTTATAACCGGTTTGGTTTACTTGTATCCGGTTTACAAAAAAATATCACAATTATTTCTTGAACGGTATTTGAGATATCTCGATGAGGATCGGATTCGGTTCAGTGATTGAGGCCGAGAGAAGAACGGTGCGTGATCGGAGCCTTTGAGCTGAAAAACTTGTTCGGGTGGGTTTAATATAATCATTGCTTCCTGGAGAGGAACCGGTACAAAGTAATCCTCCATGGTTTTGATGTAGAACCGTCGAATAGAACCGTAGTTTTTCTCCGAGACGTGAAGCTTTTCGCTGACCCGTGTAAACGGAATCGGTCTAATTGATACCGAGGCCAATGCGAGGTCATATACCAAAAAAAAGTTGGTTCAGTAATTAAATTGATTTGTACCGGTATAAGATTGGTTCGGTTTGAATTTATTAACCTTTGGAGGGCTTTTGTTAGGATATATTCATCAGATCCGTCGTGTTTAGTGTTTATAAATGGATGGCTAGTGATAATGACCAATAATGACATACACACTAGAAAAAATGAAAAGCTTTGTATTAGATGTTCAAAAGTCAGAAACACTTGAAAAATTGCTAAGCGAAAACTAAATTCCATAATTAGTTGGTCGACTTATATAAACAAATTATTAGCAAAACAAAATAAAAGAAGTACTAACATTTTTCTTTTGCCGGCCAAGTAGTAACTCTTTTACGACTGTAAGTCTATATAACACTGTAAAACCAAAAAAAAAAAAAAAAAGTCTATATAACACTGAAGACTGAAGTTATCGTTTAGAAAGCACAAAAGTTTGTTCAAAAAAAAAAAAAAAAAAAAAAAAAAAAAAAAGAAAGCACAAAAGCAGCTTTGGGAAATTACCAAAAATAGAAAACGATGTCATGTCGGCTATAATATTTATTGATCGCCCCTTTTGTTGGTTAAGCAAGTTAAGGCCCAATACAGTCTCGAGAACTCATACACCTTCTAGGTCCAAGAAATTAAACACGTACGGTATGCATGACTCTACCGTAAAAAATTGTACACATCCAAACAATTATACATAAGTTTTCTTGATAAGGGAATGCATAAAAAATGGATTAGATGGAATATTCATTTATACGTTTCTTTTAACTCAATCCTTTTAGAATTTAGTCTAAATCGAAGTTAGAAGTCATCTATTCAATAATGTTCAAGTGTATAATCTAGTACAATTACGACTTGATATATGATGAATGATGATATTACTTAATGGATTATAAACACTTAGACACTGAACTTACTTTGGACATTGAGGATTAGTCATCTTAAACACTACTTTGGTTAAAGATGTTTTACTTTGGATATTACTTTGGCTATATATATATATATATGTACCGGTTAGTAAAAAAAAAACGATTAGGTCATTAATATTTGTTTACCGCACATTTTGTATTTTCTATGTCTATGATCATTATCTGAAAACTAAGTTGTGAAACAGTAATTTAGACAAATATGATTAAAACAATATGACAAGGAAAATAAGTTTGGTCAAAGATAAAAAATTCGAAGGTGAGGGACATGATTAACTGTGGTGAGGATGGTTAATAATGTTCACGGAGACAGAGGTATGGATGCTTGGGCTTGAAGACTTTGAAGTTTTGACTAATAGTAATATTTTCACATTTGTTATGTACTGTGAATAAATAAATCAACCATGCATTTTCTTATACATAGTCATATACTAGAAAAAAAGAAAAGAAATAGAGCTCAAATATCAAGTGCACACGCTTGGGAAGTAAAAACCAAAAAGAGTCAAAACTAGAAGAGAGACAAAATGGGTATAAACGAGGAAACTTGGCCTTTTGGAATTTCATTGGGTTTGACGTATCCCCTAGCTATGCCTCTAGACTTTTGCCTATAGTGCGATCTGGTTTTGAAGTCGGTACCAAAAATTAAACTCAGGTGAAGCTGGACCATCAAACTACATTCTATTTTTCCAGTTTTCCACATATTTTTTTCCCGTCAGTTTGCTTTGTGGATGCCAAATGAAAAAGTTTATGGAATTAGTATATCATTGAAACTAAATTTACTAATTCTAGCATACGATTGTTTATTATTCAAATTTCGAGAGTGTGTCGCTCCATATTTTAAAATTAGACTACATTATATAAGAGTCCATTAATTAATAATGAATTATTGAAAATATTGTCATTGTATTTCACATATTAAAACTTTTTTTTGCTATTTAAACCGCACAACGGTGAAATTTACGTTCGAACTTGCATGTTAATTAAACACTATTTCACATAATGTTATCGCTATTTAAAATGTTAGGAAGTTTATTTTGAAACTTGAACGTTAAACGATCCGAAATGAATGTGATGCTGAATTAAGGAGGATGTACGAATAACTTCGATGTAGGTTATGGAACGATGTCTTTTTAAAAAAGAAGGTTATGGAACGATGCAACATTAAATTATCCAGTACAAATGAACTAGAACCCTTTAAAATGACTTGAATTAAGTACTTAACTTGAAATGACTTAAATAGGTTAATTCAAGTCATTTTTCTCATACTGTTAACCTTATTTTTATTGTGTCGATTTATCTATTTTCTTACTAATACATTCACTTAGACAACCA